AAAGGCCATCTTCATCTGTTACTTGCAACATCTATTGTCTTACTTTTTTTTCTTTTTCCTCCTTTTTTTACAGAAATTCACAGTTTCAAAAGGAATATAACTTGAACGAGATTCTGAATGCACGTGTAATTCACGATTTTATGGGTCTTCTGGAATACAGGTAGCTTAAACGATAATTGAATTAATAAAAGCAATAATTATTAAAATTTAAAAGTAACAATATGGTCAAGTCCTACTATATGTGCGAGATTATTTCTTGTTTGCATTGCATTATATGTTTGCATCCAGTATGTCTGCATCAACAATTGACTAACCGCACAAAAACGAAAAACCAAATATTTCCATAACAATGCCACAAAATGCAGACAGAGTTATTCAATACCGTACGGATTAAATATTCTTATAACCAGGAATACAAATAATCCGCCAGTTTTAATTTATGCAAATCCTTACATTTCCTCTGTCATGGAAACTTTCAAGCTATCAATATTTCTAGTAATCCCAAAGCACATTCATCAACCGCTAGTTCAGAGATCGGAAAATGAGAATTGAAAGGAGAGAAATATAAAAAAATAATTTGAATCGCACGAATTGAAAACTGTTTGAACCTTTGGTCGTTTAATTCCAACCAATCTGAAATAAAAAGCTTCCATACGAGCATTTTTGCCATTTCAAAAATTCTGTACTACGCGTTGTTCTTCACTATATCGATGGCATACATTATTTGGTTCAATCTTCTGCTATGTATCGCTTCAGTTCAAAATATTCCAGGTAAGAAATATTCATTCTATGCTCAACGGAAGGTCCACAGTAAAGGCATACTTTCCTAACACATGAAACGATCACAAAATTCATTAGGTCAATAAAATGACTCGGGCAGTGAATATTCTCAGAAAACTTTAACATCCGTGGCAACATGGATTTAGCACTAATTGTCTTAGATACGGGGAAAATACTAATGGATAATTACCGGGAACAAGTAGTAAAGAATTATAAAATAATGTGTCGTTTAAATCCCTTCAGTCTATCCTTCACTCAGTTACATGAAGTTGAAGATATAAGCTACAAAGGATCTCAAATCGGGAGCTAATCTCGTTGCAGCGAAAAATTCAGAATTACCCCTTATCCGACATTCTTCCATTAGAGGGAACAATAAGAATGAGCCTTTTGTTTCAAAAAAAAACATACGGTAAGAAATAAATGACCAACATCTCGTATTTAAGTAAGTCGAAATGTGCCTTGATAGGTTCAATGAATAATGCTGATAACAGTCATATTTCAAATTGTATTCATTAATTGGCATATAAAATGGTATTTGTAAACACGAATGTCATAACAGTTTTTCAGTTGGCCAAAACTATAAATGTCGTTTTTGTAATGCGACTATGCAGACGCTGAAGGAATATTTAGGACATCGTGAAACGCACAGGAAATATAAGTGCACTTGGCGCGAATGTAGAATGAAATTCTTTACCCAAAAGGGACTTCGAGATCATTACGAAATACATCAATCTAAAGCTCAACGTGAAAATTCTAGCGATTCCTTTCCTTCTAAACATAAACTACGAGAATATAATCAACGATGCCACGGAGTTAGAGGTTAGTTTCGCGAAGTTTATGTTTAGCAAAAGAAGTTTCAACGTGTTTGTTCACATGAAAACATCTGCGATAGCAAAGTGGCAAATCAAAATTCAATACTCACTGCAGCATTTTTCTAACCTCAGTAGATAGCTGCTTGTCGTTTATCGCAGTGGATGTTTGGCAGTTACTGATATGACAATGAACGGAGTGACAGAATCCGAGCAATTAGCGTACTTACAGTCCGATGAATTTAAATAGTGTTGACTGTTGGGAAATTTGTTTTTCTTTTCTTTGTTGAACTCGTTTCTCGACGATACAGATTTATTCCGGAGGTAATATTGTTCTTGTACAATATTACTAGTTAACAACAGGAAAAGCAGTATAAAATATGTATGTATATAACACTATGAATTGGTAAG